ATAGTTGCAACTAATCGATTTTCCTATCATGTGACTAAATTTGTTGATTGGCCAATCAAACTAAAGAAATCAACACGAACCAGCCAGAATAGATGAAATATCTCAGAATTTAACTAGTTCTAAATCGATTAATTGGAAAGTTGTTTTTCCAACTAACGATTTGGATCACTACATGTGAATGCTTATGTCCATAACTGCTGATCTTAACGATAATTAAATTCATAGAAAAATTATCGTTATTGCTTTATTCACAAAAGATTTTACAATGTAACTTTAAAAAATATCATTTGAGAACTTAAGAAAAAATTTAATTCAAATGATATATAATATAACTGACATTTTTTAAACAAAAACCAAAATTTATAGAGCAAAGTATTGTTTTTACTATAAATTAAGATAATTTGTATTAAAAAATATCAAATACATGTATTTTAACAGTTTTATTCTATAATTTCTAATTATATATTGGATAAGAAGACCGTAAATCGATAAGTAGGGATAAGAAGATGAATGTAAATCTTGATTATACTTTATGTAAATCTTTGATTATACTTATGTCATTTTCAAATTCCTTATTCAGTACTTTTTATTAAATACCATATTACCCAACCTGAATATTGCTGAATATTACAACCTGAATAATATTATGACCTGAACCTTATGGTCTGACCTGAATATTATGACCTGAACCTTATGGCCTGAATATCAGGACTTTAGTGTTATGACCTATGACATGAATAGGGGTAGGTCAATTACCGGTTATAACTGTAACCGATGTCGGTCAGTCAAAGGTTTGTGACTGACCGGTTAAAATCCAGGTAGGTTAGTCATGGCAGAAATGTGTCGCGGTAACGTGATCGCCTACCACTTCCGACCTGATTATTTGAAATTATTATTAACTGTTAATAATCTTTTCCAAAATAATACGTAAATTGTAGTATCAGGTCGGAAGTAGTCGGCGACACGTCATCGCGACATTTTTCTGCCATGACTTACCTACCTTTAAAATCCTGACCGATACGATATTAATTGATTCATTACAATGTTGTTATTTATAAATTATTTTTTCATGGTGTTAATCATATATAGAGATGAGCGCAATGCCATAATTGGTTGTAATTATAATGAATTATGGCATTATTTGTTGTAATTCATTATAATTACAACTAATTACAGCATTGTGCTTACATGCTCTAATACTTATAAATATAATAATTTATTTTAACTAAGATAATACGTATTAATTAATAAATTTAATAATGACACTCATACCGATGACCATCTACTTATGTGATTTTCGTAATTTAGAAGTGCAACGAAAGATGTTTAAGTATAAGTCAATAATCTTGAAGATCACATATGAATACCTTTATTTTGCATCATGGTATCCTGTTTTATCTTATGTCAGTAATAACAATAAGGAGGTAAATACCTACGTACTAGAGTTGTTAACGGCTTATTCAGAGCCGGCTTTAGCTGCATAATGGAGCTAAGCCATTGAGCTGCAGCTTAAATTGTATCTTTGAGATACAGCTTAAGCTGTAACTTGACCTATAGTTTAGAGTCAAACCTTAGCTTAAGCTGCGACACTTTAATTTTACATCAAGCATACATAACGATAATCTGCTATCAAAGTGTCATGTTTTCAGCAATAGCCATGGCTTAAGTAATGGCTCGAGCTATGGCTCAAACTGTGGCTTCAACAGCCATGGCTCAAGCTGAAGCCACGGCTTTTGAGAGCCAAGCCAAGTCATACAAGCCGTTAACAACTTTAGTAAATACTTCATGTGATATTATTCATCACATAGTTCGTCCTAAATAGTATGGATAGTATCACTACTAATAATCTTACGGTAAGCTAACTCCTTTAGAAAAGAGATTATAAAATATTAATTTTGGAGGTAACTTTCTAACATTCTTTGAAGCTATAAATGATATTTGAGCCGATTTTTTGCTTGTGTAATTTTGCGTTCTCAAAAAGTGTATAAATAAGTTACCCAGGCTTTATTTAAATATATAATAATTATAATAACAATAATAGTAATAATAATATTTAGCTATATCATAATTTAGGTCATCAGTTAATCTTCGAACACTGTGATATTTTTATAAGATACATAAAATACTTTATGAAATCCGTGATGACAGAGTTGCTATTGGGATTCGTTCGCACCTGATGCGTTTTGAGTAGTTGGAATATCAAGCTCTTGTCAGACAAAACACAACACCCTCATTACATTTTCAACTTAGTCCTAAGAAAACTAAGTGGAGAACCTCTTAATATATTTGTCATTCCCTAATTTCTTTTATTACACAAGAACATGAATTCTAATTAACCAGAATGTAGTCATATAGCATGCAAAAACAAAATGCTCAGTCACATGATTTTTGACAATCAATTGATGTACTAATATGTTTTAATACTTTAATTAATATATGCGCCATTTTTGAAATTTTTTTTTTTTGACTTCATAACGTTGGATCAGAAGGCACTTTATTTTTTTGCCATGGCTAAAGTTTGGGACTAAATTTATTTTTTAATTAGTTCGAACTTAAATTCGGTTTTGTTTTGCATATATAGATATTTTATTTGAAAAAAATTTAAATAAATAGAATCGCTTTGTGTGTGTGTGTGTGTACGTATGCATGCCTGGTGACAAACATTCGACAATTAGTCGAATGCTTTTGTTTTCAATATATTTGTATTCATTGCCACATCATTTTGGAAATGACTTTCAAGACTATAAATGAATATAGTAACTGTAACTAATGTCGCACAATTCCCGACGGTCATTTCCTACATTACACAGAGTGTTATTTTATTTCCTGAGAGGAATTATAGTCATCCATGTTCTTGAAGTCACAGCATCTACTTTAATTGTGCCTGAAGTCGAAACTGCTAACTAATGCGATAATTTCAGGGGTCATGTACCCACGTGACGTTTTTTATGTAAATCAACCAATCGGAATTACGAAATTTTGTTTACACGCAAAAAGATGAAAAATGGCAGTCTAAACCTGTCTTGGGGCACTAATTAAAAATGTCGGAAGGCAATTTTGCCTATACCCTTTTCTCATACTAATACCAAGCTAGCCCTAATCCTACCTTAAACCGATCAAAACGTGGGTACATGACTAGTATGCTTAAATTGGTAAACTTCAAGCAGATGTTAAAGCACGGTACTATGACCGTCAGTAACCTCTCTTCTACTATAATTCCCCCCCAGGAGCGTTCACTAGATGTTAATCGGACTTCCATACCATTATTTTTACACGTAATCCCATATTTATATTCGTATTGATAATTTATCATGTAATAAACTATACTTATTTATTTTGGCTTTTATTAAAGTTTTTGCCCAGCATATAACAACTTAAAAATTAAAGTTTGAAGAAAAATATATATATATTTGATATTCACGTGTAAAAAATTATGCTGAAGGTAGTCATAAGTGACACTTAGTGCGACAGAGGATTATTAGTTATGGATTTTTACGTTGCTTGATGTTAGTTATCGTTATAGTTTTCAAAAAGGTATGAACAGACGCAGATCAACTTATCTCGAGAAATTCACGAAATTTACCAGATTTCAAAGCCAGAGCTAATCGGACATTCAATTTTCCACATAGCGATAAGTATATGGAAATCATTGTTCACACCTTTTTGAAACAGCTGTAAATGGTCTTATCTCATCTTTAATTATAAAATATTGGATCATGTGACCATTAATATCATGAATTGTTTTGCGATGTGCCGTGTAGCAAATTTCGAGATATTTATAAGTCGTGATCGGGATTGTTGTACTTACGTAATAACGTACAAGAAAAAAAATCTGATCGTAAGAGTTTGCCGATAAGATTAAAACTTAATAGCGCATACGCATATAGCTACAAAATACACCTAGTACGTATATCGATATATTGACTAGGATATTAATCGGCACGATCATGTTGTATATATCTTATCACGAAAACCAATTTTTAATCGATTAATGAATGGTGTCGAACAAGCCGATTAACATCTCTATAAATAACAAAATTAATCTACTCCTAAATGATGTTCTTATATTTTCAAAGCTATAAATTGTAATTTTTTTTTTTTTATTAGTGAAACATTACATTTTCCTAGTAATTAATTTACATCAGCCAATAACGAAAATTCTATAAATATTTAGTTTAGCAGATGTCTGAAATTAGCTTGCTAACCGCAAATGATTTACAAGTTTCCGCAACTAAAATCTGAAATGCATATGAATTTTGCATATCGATATAAATATATTCATATGCGCAATTAAATCATGTAGCCTGCAAGTACGTAAGTTGCGTTTTATTTGTTGTGACCCCGAAAACGCAAGGTTATATAATTAGTATTCGAAATAAATGTTCTCATTTACGTTTAGATTATTTTTCATTTACATCTGGTTTAATTAACGTTAACAACGTTAACTAATTAAACATGCCATTGTAACGTTACCTAAATCACACTTAAAATATTGTATTCTAACAATGGATACGTAGTCGAAAATTCTAAAAAAATCTAAATTATATGAATTATGATTATAAATTATGATATTATACGTAACAGATAACTATCTGCATATTGATACAAAAATAACGTACGTACATATATACATACGTACATGTGTAATGTACGCGTGTTCTATGATTTTTTTGGTACTAGATCTATTAGTTGGTATCCGAATATGGAAATGATTCCGATATTGTTAACTTTCTACATAAAAAAAAATGTGGATAAAATATTACGGATGAATTAATGCTATTTTTTGAATCCCGTGAATCCTACAAATGATAACTTACGATATGATTGGTCAATAATCATTTTCGCATTTGATCGTGAGAACTTAGTCACATGATTTTACTATTGCTAACTTATTTTGGTAAAATTATAAACAGCGAGATCACAATTTCAAACCTTCTTGTTTCGTATTTGTTAACGTTATATAACGTTAAGTAATCTTGCAAAGTTGTTTATGTATCTATCATTCTTTTACCCTTGTGGGTCGTTAAGATGGTTTTTCTCTTGTGAGTGGTTAAGTTTAGGTTCCTCCTCTTCAGCGAAAACCATGGATACATTTATACTTTCTCGAATCGACAAAACTCAATTTGTATTATTTCAATTGTTATTCTAAATATAAAACGCATTTAATGCATGTCATTATAAATGATTGGTGTATTTATTAATTCGATAACCTCAGTGCATAAATTATGCTGGTTATAACGATGTCTTTATATTTCTTTCTCTCTTTCCCGCCATCTTTTTTTAGTCGATTATCCTTTACCTTCCTTCCTAAACTCTCATTCTTTTATTTCTATGCGTCATTCTTTTATAACATATAAAACTCGGTGGTTCATATCTTAGTTGACTTGATCCCACTAATTTTTTCTGGAAAAAAAAAAAAATTTATATAAATAAGATTACTTATTAGAAAAGAGTAATTATGAGCGCCGATAATGAATTTTACTCTCCACTTTTCAGTAAAAATGGTTTATCAAAGTCACAGCGTCCGGTTTCTCGGATCTCTTTACCTGAAGAACGTCATCAAGAACGTGAGCAATATTTCCACAACGTACTGCCTGAAGCAAATTTCCAATTTTCTCAACTTACATTGCCCCAGATCCATTTTCGACCCATGTTACCTGAAGAACATCAACAACAATATCGTTCTCATCATAATCGACATGATTCCTATAGCACTGACAAAACTGATCATACTTACGTAGCAACTGATCTTTCAAATAATTTTAAGGATCCTCAAAACCCAATTCTTCTTAATGCCAATGGTTCTCCACAAACCCTAACTCCTATATATCCTACTCCTCACTCTGAAGCTACTTCTAGTATTCCAACTCCTACTATTAGTTACCCAATCTATGATGACAAAAATTTTAACCTTCCTGGAGGTGACCCGAAATTCGGCAAATCTTTAAAAATGTCTAGACGCAAACTCTGGATCATTCTTGCTTTGTTTCTCGCCTTGATACTACTAATCATTGGTAATTTATTTTCTTTATATATCTAAATGTCGATCTGATACACGTATTAATTTTGCAATATATATATATATACATATAAAATTAGTTGTTTCAGTTATAGTAGTCAAAGTAAATAATGCTGCCGCTCAAAATTCACAAACAAATAACGATTTAGAATCTAATGGAAATGGAACTAATTCATCTACTAATAATTCTACTGGAATTAATTCATCTACTAATAATTCTACTGGAATTAATTCATCTACTAATAATTCAACTGGAATTAATTCTACTACCAATATACCTCCTGAAAATAGTCCTAGTAATGATTCGTCTAACGTATCTAATACAACTGACGTTAATCCAAACGGAAGTTTACCTTTAATCGGTAATTCCGACTCTACTTCAAGAAAGACTTTACCTACAGTTTCTGCTCCTCCTATTCCTAATAGTTGTCCTTCACCAAAACCTTGCACCACTCCTGGACAGGTATTTTGATATATGTATATAGTATTTGTTTATTTTTTAAATAAATTAATTTATTTTTATTTTGGTTTCATTTCTAGATGCTTTGTCCTCCTATAGATGGAAGCAAATGCAATTACTATTGTGCACCTTCGGTATATATATATATATTTTATCTAAATTTTGGTTTTAAATAAATTTTAAATTTGCTAATTGCTGGTACTATTTATAGTGTCCAAGTAATGGTGATGATAATGGTGATGACAATGGTGATGATAATGGTGATGACAATGGTGATGACAATGGTGATGATAGCGATGATGGTTAATTAGATCGTTTAAACCATATTACTGTACAGTATACATAAATTGGCATTTTAATGCACCGCCCATTAGAGGCTCGCATAGGCCGGGCCGAAATTAAAAAATTTAAAACCTTAGTAAAATTACGACTCAGGCATATAAAACAAACATAGTAAAAAATGCTGGTCAACCTTTTTAAAAACATAATTAGTTTTATTTTGCAGTTCGGCAACAAATAAATTTTTTAGACTTATGTTGACCTTACTGCTTATTATTTAATATTTTTTTGTGTATACTTGCTTTTTAAAAAAGTTGTTTTTTTCAATTTTTGATATAATATATAAACATAAGTAACGTATATATAATAAATAAATTGTACTATTATTTGTACTTTTGTTTGACTTATTAATAATAAATTTAGCTTGAATAAAAATATTAAATTATTATTATTATTTTTCTTTAGTGTTTTTGTTTTTATTTAATAATAAATTGTATTATATATTAACCTATATAAATACGTATAAAAAAAACATATTAGTTTGCATAATGTTTATGTACAGTTATAGTTTATTAAATTACAACTTTGTGTAATATAATATTAAACTAATTTTTACAAACCAAAAATTAAATTAATGCTTATAATTAGAATAAGAGTAGATTTGAAATTAGGCAAAATATAATTTATATTAAAAAGTGTTTTTATAATTAAAAATTTTAAAATATTAATTAGTTTTTATAATATATATGTATATATATTAGGATTAAAAGCATAAGATTTAGAAGCATGCCTTATAAAATATATATTTTTTTAAACAAAGTTATATTTTTATTATGTAATTTATAATTAATATATAATTAGTTAATTTAAAATTTAATTAATTAAAATTAAAACCTATTATACTAATTACAATAATATAAAAATTTAAATATTAATTTGTCTTTTTAGTAATATTAATTACTTTACAAATTATTAATTAAATTTTTTTTTAAAATTTTAGCAACCTTGCTAATTATCTTTATTAAAATTCTTATATACATATTTGTACAAAGTTGGTTTAAATTTTGACTTAACATCTTTTAGTTATTTCTATAAATACCTAGAAGTAATTTGTTATACTAATTAGAAATTAATCTGGTTAGAAAGCTATACCAAGTTAGTTATTAAGGTTATAAAAAAAATATTATTTTTCTTTCAATAAAACCAACAACTGAACCTAACTATAATTCTTGTATTTTTTTTTATTTTTATTTTTATTTTTTTTTATAAATAAATTTTAACTATCTAATATATTATTTTTCTCTTTTTTATATAAATGTTTATAAGTTGTATTGTTATTTGATATCTTTTCATTTTATTTTTTATTTACAAGATTAATTTTTTTTTTTATATATTAAACTAGTCTTTTTAAGGTTAGGGTTTTTTATTTAGTAGTTAAAATATAGGAACTTATGGTTAAGGCTTTAAAAAAGTCTCTTTATATTAAAAAATACATTTAGTTATACATATACTTTTGATATCTAATTTAAGTAATTCACTAATAGTTCTATACTAGCTGTCATACCTGCAAATATTGTCTGTTTAAACTTTCTGTATTTCAATCTTTACTATATCATTAGATCATCTTCATTATGTATATTAGTTAAGAAGATTTAGATGCTAATTTGTATTCTTAAAACTCTATATTTTATTTTATGCAATGTAGCTTTAAAAACATTATTACTAAAATCTTTTGTGTTCTATATATAGTTAATCTAATTTTATATAATACACTATAATTATTTAATACTTGCAAGATAAACTACTTAAATAAGTAATCAAAAGTTATATGTATAACTAGTTATACTTTATTTTTTGTAAAAATAGTATAATCTAACTTTAATATATTAATAAAAAACTATTATAAAGTATAGTTTTAAATATATATATATATATATATATATACTAAAAATAATATATATACATAATTAAGAAGAAATTAGAAAACAACAAAATAAATAAAAAAATAAAAAAAATAAAAAATAAAAACAGCTTTAAGAGCTGTTAAATTAAGAAAAAGATGAAAATATATTAAACCAAATATAAGATTTTTTTTTTTTTTTTTTTAAGTGACCTCTTTGGTCTTTTGACTTTTATTAATCACTTATCGGTATTGTGGTTCAATGAACCACTACAGGAGAGTG